GGTCCTTGGAGAGGGACATCATGCTTGGGGGGGAGGAGGGACAGCGCAGGAGGGGAAGACCCTCTATGAGATGGATTGACTCGGTGACTGGGGTAATCGGGATGGGTGTGTGAGAGGCAGTGCAGTTGGTGCAGGATAGAGCAGGGTTTAGGGCTGTTGTGCATAGGGTCGCTATGACTCGCAAATGACTCGACGGCACATAACAGCAACAACTCCATGTTTTCAAAGGAAGCTGAAAATTTGGAGATTTCCAAAATCTCTTCACTTTCTAACAGAGCTATGGTGGCCTAGCGGGTAAGGAGTTACACTGCCAGCTCAAAAGCAGGTGGTTTGAACCCACCAGCTACTCCTTGGGAGAAAAATGGGTGATCTCCTCCAGTGTAATTTACAGCCTCAGAAAACCTGCTGGAGTGTCAGCTATGAGTCAGTTATGACTCCACTGTGATGAATTGAGCTTGTACAGTGTATTTCAGTGATTAATTTATGGCTTGAGATCTTCCAGTTTATGGCCTCTGCTCTAAAAGTCTCAAGAAAACTCAATATTAGTATTATTGTTGTTGTTACGTGCCATCGAGTTGCCTGTGACTCAAAGCTGTGTACAACCTATGTACAGCAGCTCTAAAGCCTGCCCTGTCCTGAGCCAGTCTCACTGACTGTGACACACCTACCCCTATTGGCAGTCACTGTGCCAGTCCATCCCTTCCGGGGTCTTCCTCTACATATCAAAGCCAATTAATTGCCATTGAGTCAATTTCAACTCCTGGAGACCCCATGTCTGTCAGTGTAGAACTCTGCTTCACAGGCTTCAGAGGCTGTGACCTTTCAAAAGTGGATCACCAGGCCTTTTTCTGAGGTGCTGATGGGGGGGTTCAGGCTGCCAATATTTCTTTTAGAAGTCAAGTGCTTAAATGTTTGCACCACCAAGGGTTTCCTACCTAGACAGAGTCTATGGGTATTTAGATAAAGTATCATCTGAATATTTTCTTGGTAGCAACCTGTTTTTCAAAAAATATCTTCAGGAGTTCCCCCAAGCGGATCTACAGAAATGGTTCTTGACTATTGCTGGGAACATTTTTTAAATACCGTGACCAAGACCCCAGTCTGAAAGGCTTAGATTAACATAGTGTATGGGGCCCAGACATTTGTGGTTCTTTTGCATCATACTAGAAGATTCAAATGTGCAGTCAGGGTTAATAATCACAGATCTCTGGATTGGTAAGTCAAAGTCAGTCTGAGAATTAACTCCAAAAAGTAAACCCACTACCACAGGAGTCAAATCCTCCACCGGCTTTCCAAGACTATAAACCTTCATGGGAGTAGATGCCCAATTTGCTCCTTCAGAGCAGCTGTGGATTCAAATCAACAACCTTTCTCTTAGAAACTCAAGCATAAAATATTACACTCCCAGAGACCTAAAACAAAGAAGTTAGTTTCTCTAGAATCTTTGACCCAGTATTATTTCTCCAGGATGGAACAACTCCCCTCTGCTTAAGACTCCTTCCCACCTTAACAAAATCTAAGATCAACACTGAGGCCCAAACAGAGGCAATTTTCAAGAACCAAGCCCTTACTGGGCTACAGTGGTCTGCTTCCTTCTCCCTGGCTCATCACGTTAGAATCACTGTGCTGTTTTCCCCCTGGCCTTCTGAGGCTGGCTTCACCCAGCTCTGGACCAAGCACTTCCTTGTCTGGCCTGTAGGTCACTCTGCAAAGAGGCCTGTAACACTGGAGAGTGAGCACATCTTTAAGCTCCCTGCTTGCCGACCAGTTTGCTCCCAAGAATACATGCCCTTAGACCTCTGTCCCAGTCAGATGCCCTAATAGCCTTTTTCTACAAAACAGCCCTTATGCGAGAGTCTATGAATGCAGTGAGTGGAGGTGGAGGTTGCAAACTGTAAAGCACCAGAGAATGGCCAAGCGTGACTGCTCTCAGTCAGCCCCTCCCACCCAGTTGAAGCAGAAGCAGGTCAGCTTCTGCACTGGTTTCCAAACCAGGGGCTGCAACTACGTGCACGTCTCTTAGGGATCCTCCAGAGGGTCTGGTGTGGAGAGAGGTCAGGGAGACCATCCTTGCTCAGATCCTACCCTCCACACAAACATGTCCCTGAGAAGAATATACTAGATGTGGCTCCAGATAGCGCATCATGATTCATTGTCTGCATCCTAGTCCCCAGAACAAGGACCCCATTGGGAGAAGGGTTCTGAGAGAGAGGAGAAGCATGCGGAGATCAGAACAGTCAACATGTGGTCTCCATCCTAGCCTGCTTGGTCCCAGGCCACTGCCCTCAGTGTCTCCATGTTCTCGTCAGTGTCCATGTAAATACCATTACCTGTCCTCCCAAGCTCACTCCCCACGTTTTGTTTGATTACCAGCATTTATGTCTGTCCAGAGTCACTGCTTCACTCACCTCTCCCCTCCCTGTTCCCTTTTTCTCCCTCCCTCCCATTCCTCCTTTCCCCTTATTTGGTCACACTGTTCCCTTCGTCCAGGGAGCTTCAGGTTTGGACGGCAGGCCTGGGCCACCGGTGAGTGTCACTTCTCCATCACCCCTCATCCGCCCTGTCCCCACCCCTGGCCTGTGCTCCCTCTTGTTTGTCCCACTGTGGCCTTGTTTTCCCAGTGAGTCCAGCCTCATCCCAGCACCGACACCAGAAAGCTGCGCTCACTTCAGAAATGCTTGTTAAAAAGGCAGCTGGACTTAGTCTAAATTCCCTGTCCATAGTATGTGTCCAGGGGGCGGGGTGAGAAGCCATGTCAGCAGCACTGTTGCTGGAAGAGATGCCTAGCCCAGCCTGGGAGTCCCGCCCATCCCCACCAAACACATCAGTGTCTGTTTGTACCCATCATGCTGTGTTGTCTTCACACTGTAAACTGTGTTCATCTCCTGTCTCCCCATGAAGGCTTTTATCCTCTGTAGCCAGTTAAGTATATGTTGGGAGGGGACAACATTGAAGTTTGAGGGCAGGTATAACATTTAGGAGCATAATGGCCAGTTCTAAATAGTTGGTTTTTGAGCATGTTCTAACCACATCTCTTAATCTCTCTAGCACTCTAACAATTCAGTCATAGAACAAATGATAGATTTAGATCCTCTCTTTCTTCCCCCCACCCCATAATCCTGATTCTAGAAATAAGCATCACCCTACCCTTTAGGAAATGCTAGCCACCTCTTCTTCTTGTGGCAAACAACTAAAGCATCTGAGGAAACTTCCCTTCCTCCCCACCTTGTAATCTCTCTCCCTGAACACCCATGAGGTCTGTAGGACCCCTGTGCCCTTGGTTGTCACATAATCCCTGATAAGGCCCATCACAAGTCATGGTGCTGGAATCACTGGCTATCCAGTGCCCAGGAGGCTGGTTGTCCCTGCCCTGCTAGCCAGTGCTGAATGTGAGCCCTACTCCTCTCTCTTCTTGCAGGATCTTTTTTGAGGTCATGCAAGTTGAAGTTCTAAAAGGGCCTCTGGAGTGATACTCAGGGAATAGATGGACTCAGAGAGCTTCATTCTCAAGACCAAAATCATGCACACAGCCTAGTGAGCTGTGAAAGCACAACCAATCATAACAGGCCTTCCCTGAGGACCTGGAAGTAGATCTCAGAACTGACGTCAACAGAAGCTATCGCTTCCAGAGGCAAGAGAGACTAGCAAGAGTGGACTGAATGCCTATTCTGTGTCTTCATAAAGAAAAGGAAACCAGCACTTTAAAAGGGGATGTGATTTGGCCAAGATGAGGTCTCCCCAATCTCTCTCTGCCGTGGGCATCTATGAAGATGGCCCCAGAGACTCCCACACGTGAGGAACATACACCTGTTTTCTAGGTATTACTATCAGCTTTGCTGTTCCATTACAGCCCCTCTGGGAACAGCCTCTCTCACCTAGGGTATCTTTCCCAGGTGACTGATCAGAGAAGGGAGAATAATCTACACAGTGCTCAATATTTGGCGTGCATTCTTTTTTCAGCCTGCCCGCAACCTAGGAAGTGGATACCAACATTATCTTTCTCATATTACAGAAGAGAAAAATGACACTCAGGCTAAGTAATTCTGGTTTCACAGACTGTGACAGCCTTGGAGGCAGGGTGTGAAGCATTCACATCGGGCAGCTAACTCCAGAGTCCTTATCTTAACCGCCATCCCCATCTGGCCTCCCTGCCTTTCTGATAAGTTCTGCTCCTTAATGTCTGTAGGCTTTCATTCTTCCTTGTCAGTTGCAAAGGGAGCACCGGCAACATTCTTTTGCTCTTTTTCCTTTTCTCCCCCTCATGTGAAGTAAATCAGCATTTTCCTCACTTATTCCGCCACCCTCTACCCTCCGGGTGCCAGGAACCGCCCACAGGTCCAACCCCACCTCCTCACATCCTCCTCTGAGTTGAAAATACTAACACTGAACAGAACCCTAGAGAGCCTCGGAAAGACATTTTGCTAGTCAGGCTGTAAACTAGGAACCAGGAGATGAGGTTTAATTACGCCCTGGCAGTCCTGCTCCGTCTCTAAGCAACACAGCTCTGTTCACTCCCGCTCCCTCCAACTCCCCGGCAGACCTGAGTCAGGAGTGTTTATAACCCACCTTCCTGCCAGGCTAGTGTCGGAGACACCCAAGGCATACTAATGCTCCCTCCCACCCAGCTGGCTCTGGAGAGCCATATGTGGGGGAGAGAAGGCCCATGAGAGGCTGAAGGCCAGGGTTGGGGTCTTTGTGGGAGACGGGCGGGGTGGGCGGTGGCTGGCTGACCCTGCCTCTCTGTGTGCACCTGCATCGGTCTCTGTGGCATGAAGCCCCTCCTGCTGCATGTGGAGCTGTGCCAGCAAAGGGGTGACACCTCACCCTGGGAGGAGGTTAGTGCCCCCTCAAGTGCTTCTGGGAGCAAACTAAGCAACCGTTCTCCTGCCGTTTTCAGCTTTGGCAAGCTTGGTGGTGATGCAAAACAATTTTATTCCAAGAATCTGGCCCTGAGGCAGTGGGGAAGTACTCTCTTCTCCAAGGCCCCCCCAAACCCAAACAGGAACGCGGCCCAGTCGACTGGCTGCCCTGGCCGAGCCAACCCTGAAAACCAAGCCTCTGGGCCTTCCTCATCTGCAGCCTCGGGCGGGCCCCAGGGCTCTCTCAGCCCCATCCCTCATCTTTGCTGTCTTTCAACTCCCCAGGGTACTCCAGGACCAATCGGAGTTCCAGGTCCCGCAGGACCAAAGGGTGAGAGGGTGAGTTGCCCAGACCAGAGCCAGGCCTGCAGGGGTCAGAGCCCTCCCTCTGCAGCCTGCCTCCTGCAGTCCTGGCTTCTAGGATCTATCCTTCCCTTAAATAGAGTGAGTCCTTCATCACCTCTCCACCTGGCGACTCTCACTGCAGCCTGAGGGACGGACCTGCAGGCCTGCAGACAAAGACCTGTAGAAAGATCAAGAAAAGGAATGCTGGGACTCAGAGTCTGATGAGATCTGATAAGATCTCTGGTGGTGTTGTCACTGGAACACCACTAAACTCTGTGATAAGAATTTACTAATTCTAATACCAAAACCAGGCAAAGATAGTATCAGAAAAGAAAACTATAGAGCCATATCTCTTGTGAACATAGACTGTACACTCTGTGATATGGATTTAGTGAAGCAGCAAGCAAATGAGAGCTGGGTCATGTTTTGGAAAAATCAGAGGGACACCAAGAAGCTGGAGTGTTCAGGTCTCTCCATTACTGATCAGGTGACCTAAGTGACTACTGGTCACATGACTCCAAGCTCCAGCCCCCCCATGGAGTGATGTGTGCAAGGGTTGGGGTGCAGGAGAGCTGGAGGTCATTTCTCAGTTATCTTCTCTCCCTGGTGTCTCCATGACCAGAGCTTAGGAGGTAGAAGGGCCACTGGGGGCATCTATTGAGTTCTCTCCAGAGCAAGTCTCCTTGTCCACTGTCTACCCACCTGTCCACCTGTCTCAGGCTGAAGGAGACATGGCAGCATCTGTGTGGTAGGGGGTGAACAGTGTGGAAAGTGTCAGAAGGGGACACAGAGTTCTCTGAGGTCACACCCCCCCACCAGGGAAACCAGAATTGTCTTCTCTGGAGATGTGACACTTGGCAAGAGTGTCAACAGAAGCATGAATGCTCTCTTTCCTGCTCTTACATCTGCCTCCCTCATCCACTTTCCCCACTGACTGGTCACCTCCCTGCTTATACCACAGCCTGGTCTGTACTCCCAGGCCATCACTCAGCTTTTCTACTGGGCCGAGGACTTGGGCTCTGGGCAGCCACAGAGCATGTGAGGAGGGGTTTCTGGTGCACCATCTGCCAAGATTTGAGGAGCTGGAGAAGTTCCCATTGTTTTGTGAAAATAAAAACAAACTAATGGAAGGTCATGGTCATAGTCATGGTCATGAGAGTTCATGGTTTCCTTCTCCTGTTGCAGGGCAGCAAAGGAGACCCTGGGATGACAGGACCAACGGGAGCAGCTGGGCTTCCTGTAAGTCTCCTGGATGAGAGGTTTCTCCTCTCACCTTCCCCCTCCAGAAGCTGCGTCCAAATCCAAAAGTCCAGAGCTTAAGAGTCACAAATCAGGGGCCAAGGGACAATTCTCATCTCTGTGACATGGAGCTGCCCACTACCAAGTGGTCAAGGCACTCAGGCTTTCCTGCTGGGCATTGTTTGATGTAAAACTCCAGGACACATGGCCTGTCTTACAGTAAATCCTCAGCAGGGTGGATCATGTGCTTGACCACCGTATCACAGGCCCCTTCCACTGTAAGCTCTCCTACCTGCAGGGGGCGCTCACACATAAATACAGCACTGTCCCTGCCCTCATGCAAGGTCTGGTCAGGACAGCAACCGAGTCAGGCCCAAATCCCTATCCTACAAGATGCTTCATTTGAGAGCACCTCTCCATTGCTCTGTTATGAAAGTTCATTACTGACAACAGAACCAGAACTGATGCTTCTTCCCATCTCCTGGAAGACTTTGCCCATTCTATGGAGGTTGCCCGGGCAGCTTTCTTTGGACTGCATAAACCGGTAACAGGCAACTAGTCCTTGTGTCCACTCATTCCCCGAGCTGAAGAATGGCTGGTTCTCTGCACCTTGAACAGAGGATCTGAAAAGCTAGCAAATCATTCTCCCAATAAGAACCTGGCAAGGTGGTGTTATGGACCTGCTTCTGCCAGGCGTTATCTGTCCCCTACATGTCCTCTGAGCCTGGCACTCATCAGCATAAGTGATGGTACAAGAACGTGGCCACAGGCTCTGGACCACATTGGCTATGGTCAAGAACCAGAATTGCACTCCTGGCTTTGCCATAGCTCATCGTCAGGTGACTTGAACAACTGTCTCCTTTGGGTAAAATGCGGTGTGCTTAAGTCATCTCCAGTGGCTCAGTAAGTTGTTTTGTGCACCTTGGGAGGCAGGAGAGTGACCATTCTGTGTCTTCTCTGATTCACTGCAGGGTTTACATGGACCTCCCGGCGACAAAGGCCACCGGGTAAGTCAGAGCCCTCACACCTCGGCTCCAGTTACTAACGTCTTTACAATGTGGTGGAATGATCAATTGAGGCTTCCCAGCCCAACTTGGCAGATACAATTGTTTTCCCTGATAAATTATCCTAAATGAAAAGCTTTCTAGTAAGAGGCTTCATATACGGCAGGCAGGTGCCTAGGATGGATAATCTAAAATTAAACAATGGCAGACTGGGTGCCTTGGTGGCCACCAGATTATCACTGTCCTCTGGTAACAAGAGTCCCACGTCCAACTCTTACTGTGTAGCCCTGATAATGGGCCTCAGAGTAGTATTTTCAAATCCATCATTATCTGGTCCTAGCCTCCTAAAGCTTGGTTTCGTCAGGCATGCAGACCACTTGGGAGAAAGAAAATAAATTCCGGTTCTGAGAATGAGCACACAGTCACTGTAAGCAGCCAACCCTTTACAAAAAGCTACTACAACCTTTATTTCTCTTGGAAAGACCTGACAGGTCTATTAAATGTCTTGGTGGCTTGCTAGGCCCCTTGCTTCCCCTTTGGCTCCGCCATCTTTACCAGGACCATTAACTGAATGTCCTGGATACACAGTCACCTGGAGGCATAGGAAACATGGCTCTGGCATTAGCGTCCACCAGTGGTTAATATATCTGACCAGGAGAAGACGTATGGATTCAAATTTCCTTTCTGGAGGATCTTTCTCATCTGCCCCTTCATTAGATAAGTTCTCTGATGGATCAAATCCTAAAAGCCCAAGAAGGTATTCCAGAGGGCCATGAATTCCAAAGACATAAGCATTAGAAAGGGAGGGAGCTCTGGTGGCCTAGTGGCAAGACGGTTCAAATCCACCAGATGCTCTGCTGGAAAACGAGGGGCAATCTCCTCCTGTACCAGTCAGATCTGATTTGACGATACATATAAAAATAACACAATAAAAATTAAAAAATAAAAATAAAAAAAGAGTTAGAAAGGGAGCTCTCGTGGTAAGAATCTGCACTACAATCCTGAAGGCACTCAGTTCAAATCCACCAGCTGTTCGACGGGAGAATGATGGGCAATCTCCTCTGAAAACCCGCTGGCGGGTCAGCTATGGATTGGTTCCGACTCCATGGTACACAACAACAAGAGTTAGAAAGGAAGAGTGAAACAGATAGATGGAGAAATAATTCTGAGAATGACAATAAAACATACCAGGCCTCGGGTCTTTGGGTTGATCTTTGAACCATTTTCATGAAATGAAGCGCCAGGCCTGTATGTTCTATCTAGCACCGATTCGTGCCATTTCTTTCCATTAGAGACACATTTATTGAGCACTCTGACAGTACTAATTTCCTCACAGGTAGCTGGCTGGTCAAAAGCACATCTATGTGCCTCATATATTCTATAAACTAAGAGTCTGCAAAGAGAGCACTCCCCTAACCAAAGTGTTTCATGGGAAGATCAAGGTTTGAAACCACTGTAAAAGCAAAATATCTGCTCCCAGAAATGTAGCTAAGCTTTTTAAGCAGAGCTGAAAACTCTGCCATTAAAGAATTTAGGCCTCAAACAATTGCTCATTCCACCTCTTCATTGGTTTATTAACTTCCTTTCTGGTTCATTTCTAATAAGTTCTTGCTTTCTTTTTAGCTTAATATTTTAAAAACCTACTTCTTAAGACTTTTTCAGCTGACTTGAAGCAAAAATCATTTGAAAGTTGTAAAGTCAGACCAGTGAGGGTCGTTGTGTGGTTCTGGGGCAGAGACAGTGAAGGCCAAGAGTCTTTGTAACTCTACGGAGGGCAAGAAATGGAAGCTGATGGCTCTGAAGGGATGTTTGCTGGATGTGCCAGTGAGACTTCTGGAATCAGTGATTAAACTATTCTCTACTTCTTATTTCCTAAAGTTTTATCTATTTCCTCCATCCCATGATATGTCTGTGTTTCATTGACTATGCAAAGGCATTTGACTATGTGGATCACAACAAATTGTGGCTAACCTTAAGAAGAATGGAAATTCCAGAACACTTGATTGTGCTCAATGTGAAACCTATACTTGGACCAGGAGGCTGTAGCCAGAACAAAGCAAAGAAACACTGCATGTTTCAAAATCAGGAAGAGAATGCATCAGGGATGCATCCTATCCCCATAGCTTTTCAATCTATATGTGAACAGATCACTCGGGAGGCTGGGCTTTATGAGGAGGAATGTGACATTAGGATTGGAGGAAGACTCATCAACAGCTTGCATTATGCAGATGAGACAACCTTGCTTGCAGAAACAGAAGGGGACCTGAGGCATTGGCTGCAGAAGGTCAAGAATAGCAGTTTTCATTACAGATTGAAGCTTACCATCAAGAAAATAATGTTTTTCACCACTGGATGAGTTGACACCTACCACCATTATAGATGGGGAAAAGATATCAGTTTGCTTGGTTCCAAAGTCAATACTCTTGGCAACAGCAGTCAGGAAATCAAAAGACAAATTGCATTAAGAAAATAGTGCTAGTCTAGAGATTAAGATGTACATGTTATACATCAGAGAGCTGAACAATGACTAAAGATGACAGAAGGAAAATCAATGGCTTTGAGTTAGGGTGCTTGAGAAGAGTCTTGAACATACCATGAACCATCAAGAGAATATACAAGTCTGTCCTGGACAAGGTAAAACCAAGTTGCTCCTTGGAGGCAAGGATTTTGAAGCTCCACCTCACATATTTTGGGCATGTTGCCAGGAGAGGCGAGTCCTTAGACAAGGACATCATGCTTGGAAGGGTGGAGAGACAGCACAAGAGGAAGATCCTGGATGAGATGGATGAATACAGTAACTGGGACAATGAAGGTAGGTGTGTGTCAGAGGCAGTGAGACTAGCTCAGGAGAGGGCAGTGTTCAGAGCTATTAGGCATAGGGTAGCTATGACTTGCAGGTTACACAATGACACTTAGCAACAACATCATGTAGTAGAAATCAAATCCAGAAAACAAAAAATTAAATTAACCTTCTTTTGAGTGCACAAGAGTTAGTTGATATGTCTGAAGAAGCAGCCTTCGTTGGAGAGATCTGATTCTTGGGATTTGACTCTATATGTCTCCACTAAATCCCATCTCGTCATTTAGACCCTTTCATTCCACCAGACCTAATTGGAAGTTGGAGGGTATTAAGGCTTCCAAAACAAAGAAAGATCTTGCCCAAGCCAACTCAAAGACTTTTCCATGAAAATTCTTCTGATGCTAGAAGCTCTGAACTTTGATCAAGGTGAAATACCAGAAATAGCTCAAACATTTTTGTTAAAAGCTTTGTTATGACTTGTAAATGGGGAAGGTAGAAGTGTTCAAAGCTCTTTCAAACTCCTTCCCATGTTTCAAGGGCTGCTTCTGTAGGGCAGTTCCATGCCTGTAGAAAGGCTCCCAGTAAGTGCACCATAAACAAGCATTTTGCTGTTCATATTAAACAAGACACAGCTTTTAGACTGTGCTTCTTATATAGGGTCAGGAATTAAAATAATAGCTAGAACACATGTCCAGTTGCATCCATGGATGACTTCCTTTTTTGCTGTGAGAGAAGAAGTGGATGGTGATCTGCTGCCAATCTCTGAGGCTTTGGTCAAAGATTCCATAGAAATAGTCTGATGAAAAAGCAGGAGAAATGTGGAATAGAACTTCAAGTTCTCATGGAATCCAGACTTTGTGAATCCATGGAGGCTGGACGATCTCCTACAGAAATCACTCAATCCTAAGTATTAAACTCAAACGGTTTCTAAAACCACCTGCTTTTGAAACAACACTCCTTTAGTGAGTTTCTGTTTATGATGATGGGAAAATTAGGTAACAATTAGTGGTGATGGTTGCACAGTTTGATTAAGGTCATTTATATCATGGACTGTGAATGTGAAAAAGATTTCAAACTGGTAAATGCTGTGTTATATATATTTACAAAAATAAAAAAATAAAACTTCTCCATGTCCCACCAGAGGCTGGTCTTCAGGCCTCTGCTCTGTCCTGGAAGGTAGTAGGACCTCATCATGGATCCTTATGTATTCTTATCGGAGAACAGAATGGGATTTTCTAAGAAGATGATAGCTGTGCTGGTGGAATGTTTTGCCCTGTCACTAAGGGCATTGTGCCTGGCCCTAAGCCGCTCTCCATGAATTTGGCCCCCATGCCACTTTTAGAATGAAACTCCAGTTAAAAGATAAAGGATGGTAGGAATCTAGCAATTGGATCATCAGGAAAATTGGGTGGACCACACTGAAGCATGGATTGGCTTAACTGTAACAGTGCAGTTGAGCACACAGAATTCATAAGGATGGCACAGGATAAGGCAAGGTTCAGAGATGTTGTTCAAAGGGTCGCTATGAGTTATAGTCAACTCAATGGCACCTGGCAACAACTATGATGGGTGATGTCATTGCACAGCTGCCACAAGTCAACTGAAAATATCTTATGCAAGCTCACTGGCTTCTGAGATGTTCTGAGTGTGTGTTTGTGTGTGTGTGTGTGTGTGTGTGTGTGTGTGTGTGTGTGTACGCACGCGCACGCGCGCGCATGGGTGTGTTGCCTCCCCAATTAGTCCACTTTGCCTCCTGTCTCTCCCTCATAACTCTTTGGGCCTAGGCCTACTCCTTCCATTATCTTCTCCAATATTGTCCCTCTAAATATGTTCACTCTGCATAATCTCATGACCCTCATCATTTTCTTTCCCTTCCTCAGCTTCACTTTATTTCCTCTAAAATCTATTTGTATATGCTTATTTACTTTTAAGAAATTCTGCTCCTTGGCTTTGTTAGCACTTTTCCTCTGAACCAGCTAGAATGTCACTCTGGGGAGGGGAGGATGTGGATAAAGCTACACCTCTCACGTCTTTAAAGGGCTTCTTCTGTACCCTTAGAAACGACACCCAGAGTTTGAGGTACTCATCATACAAGTCTGAACAGTCCCTGACCCTCTGTTACCCTCAGACCACGTATTCAAGAAGCTCCACCCACCCCCTTCATTAGCAAACTTAACCAATTCTCATTTTTACACTGGTCTGACCCAAACAGACTAAGGTCACACAGTGCCAGGAAGCTTGGCCACGGGCTTCCCCATCCAAAGGACTTCTGATGCTAAAAGCTCTGATTGTCCACTGCTTGCGGTACTTAATCGCCATACTGTGCTCATTGGTGGGCAATGAGAATGGAATCTCATCAGAACCAATGGAATGAAAGAGTTCTCCCTAATCTCCAGATACATGTCCTTGTCAGCACATGTCCTAAATAAGGACTGAGTTTGAGAAATTAATTTAGGACAATACACTGGAAATGGCGGGAAACCTCTGAAATCAAGAAATTTGGGTACTTTTAAAGATCAAAGTTTACTCAGAAGCCTTCTTTTCTTCTGCCTCTTTTGAATGAGCTTTTGCCCGGCAGCCTCCCACTCCAGGAAGCTTGACGCCTCAGAACTTGCCTCTGTGGCAGCGTTGGCTCTGACTCTGGTGACCATTAATAATGACTTTTACTATTATCATTATGAGCCGCTATCATTTCTTTACTGAGCATATAAACATTTAATGTTCCCAAATACCTCAGAATAAAATGTTTGAGGCAAGTGTGATCCCTATTTTACAGTTGAAGAGACTGAGGCTCAGAAAAGTTACATCATTTCCCAAAGCCGTGCTTCATATAAACTGACAGAGCCGGCGCTGATGCCAAGCCTTTCACCTGATCAACATACCTCCTACTGGTCTTTATGGTTTCACCACCCTGAAGTAATACTAAAAGAAGTTCCTGTGCATTAGACCCAGAGGAGAGGTCTAGAATGACTCCCCAAGGTAGCCTCGAGCCCCCTTTTAAGGAAACCCAGAATAAAAACACTCAAAATCAAATGCATACAGAAGTGAAGTTTCACTTTAAAAAATAACTCTTCACAGCCCTCTCTTTGGGGAGTGGCCCTGGCATGGACTAATTTGGTTTTGATGTGGAAAGATGATCTACACTGCAGCTTCTCAGAAACAAACAAATTCTGGGAACTGGCATGTCCACATGCGAATGGCCATCTATGGCTTCTGACCAGGATGGTTAAGGAACACACCTAGATGTTGCCTAAGAGCCAGGGGGCCTCCCATGATCCCTGTACATGCATGTACCTAGGGCACATCGACATGAATGCACATGCAGGTACATATGCACGTGTACATATACACGTGTGCACGGATGTATGCACCCAGCCATGCACATACACAGCACAAGCACATACACATTCACACATACACACAGATATACGTACATGAGGCATATATACATACATACCCTAACATAGCTGTGCTTACACTCATTAGACACTCGGGACTCAAAAATCACTTTGCTTGTTAGCACAGTATCAAAGAGATGGAAGTCAGGACAAAAGTTGGCAGCCTTTCAAAACCAGACCTTCAGAGAGAAGGAAGCCCTCCCCATCACAGACCCAATCTGACCACTGCACCCTTCCTCATTTCCCTCCAACTCTAGCTCTGAGCTCTACTGCTTCCCGCTGACACCCCACCACCCTCAGCCAAAGTCCCCGTGCCTTTTGGGGTGCTGTGACCCCAGATCCTATCAGGGGAAATAGCCTAATGAATCTCTTTCTCCACTCTTTAAATTTTTTTTTTCTTCTTCTATCTCTTAACTTTAACACGTGGATGATCCTAAAGTTTTGATGTTATTTTTTTTTCTTGGACTAAACCATTATTTGCAGGGGGAGAGGGGGAAGAAAGGCTCTAGAGGGCCAAAAGGGGATAAGGGAGACCAAGGAGCGCCCGGATTAGATGCCCCCTGCCCGTTGGTATGTTTTTCTTTATTGTTTGCATTGTTCTGGGTTTTTTCCCTTGAGGTTTATGAGATGGAAACAAAGAAGGCAAATAAACTGAGATTCCAATAACCACACGGAGGCTGCCGGGATCTGCCCCTGAATTTGGCCGGTGAAATTCTACCGGCTGCTGGGTCTCCTTAAAACCACAGCTGTAAATAATTCCAGCCAAATCCCTTTCCTTTGAAGATGCAGAAACAATTGATGTGTGGAAGGGAAGAGACCAGAAGGAAAAGGATTTTCCCAACAGAGGCCTCAGCTCCAAGCTCCTGACTGGCGTTGGGAGCTGGGATTTGGGATTCAGGGATTTGCCTTCTTGGGTTGGTGGCCACCTCAGCTTGGGGACCACCAAGTCACACTGTCTGAATCCTCACTGGTCAGGATGCAGGACTCCAGGGCTAGCATCTTCACAGCCCGCCGATGCTCAGGGCATGCAGAGCAGGGCCAGTCAGAGGAATTTTTATAGACATTCTCCCACTCTAATAGTCACTGACCTAAAATCCTTAAACTTCAGATCAAAATCAGAAGACAAACTCCCACAGCCTGCCTTTCCCCATCTCTCCAAAAGAGCCAGCTGTAGTCAATTCAGCCCCAACTCACCACGACCCACGTATGTCAGAGGACAGCTGTGCTTCCTGGGATTTTTTAATGGTTGTTTCATAAGCAAATCACCAGGCCTTTCTACCAAGGTACCTCGAAGGAGGCCTGAACCTCCAACCTTTTAATCAGCAACCGAATGAATTAACTGCACCACCCAAGGTATTCCCAACAAAACAATCATTAATGCATGTGCTCTGTGTGTTGGGCATCTCAAATGCCTTTTAAGTCTATTTGAAGGCTCTGAAAATGAGGATCCACTCAAGATGAGACGTGTCTGTGTTTACTCCGAGTGAAGCCACATTCACTCAGAGGGGCAAGTGGCACCACATTCAGATGCTGAGCACTGCAGGGAGCTGGTGAGAGCACGAGAGTGGAGTTGGGGAGGCAGGGGTCTACTGTTTATAGAAACTGAGAGTCCTGCATCCTGGCCATCACAGGTCTGGGCCTCTGCTCCACACAATCGGAGCTGGCCAGTCTGCACTTCAATAACCACCACGGTTGGTTTTGTGAACAGGGACACCGAGGTTTTAAAGGAGAGAAAGGGGAGCCGGGGTTACCAGGGCTGGACGGACTGGATGCCCCATGCCCATTGGTATGGCATCACCCTCCCCTTTCCTGCATGGCCAGTCAGGCATCCTCACCTGTGTGGTTTGTACCTGCATGCCTTTCCAGCCACTGTCTTTTACCCTCTTTCCCTACCTGTTCCCTCTGTAGACACCCTGGGCCGCCCGCCTTGGCTGCTCCTCCAGCCAGGGTCCCCCTCTGCATGCAGTTGGTCACTGTTTCCTTGACTTCCTTCTCCACCTGCTTACAAATCACCTCATCTTAATGTGAGCCAGTGACCCTCCTCAGCCCAAAGCAGCTTTGGCCACCTCTGATCCTCATTCCAGAATTTCTTCTAAGCCAGTCTGCACTCAGAAATATAATGCTGGGGAGGGAGTCTGTGGACAAGTCCTTGGAGTCCTTGAAGCTGTGGCTTCTCCTTCGTGTACTGCAGTTCATCCAGTAAGCAACGGCTGAGCACCTGACCACTGCTGACCTGCTGGGGGTTCCCTGAGTGGCCTGGGTCAGCTCCTCATGCTGCCCCCTTCCCATCTTGTGACCTGACAGAGAGGCACTCTCATAGCACAGCCACAGGAGAGGAGAAGTTCTGTGATGAGGGAGAACAGGAGCCTCCTCTCTCAGCTGAAGTCTGGGGTCACTGCCCTGAAGACGTCAGCAGAACGGGGGCCACTGTCCAAGATCAGACTTTTAGCTTCAGTCCCAGAAGATAGAACAAGACCCTCCCTTAGGTCCCATTCATTCATCTGCAGGAGGTTCATCACTGAATGAATTATCTGGAAGTAAATGGAAAGATGAGAATGTAGTTATGGAGAAGGAAGGAGACCCTCGTCCAAGCCTGTCTCTGGTCCAAGCAGTGGCCACTTTGTTTCTAGCAGGCCCGGTCATTCTCTAGGTCATTCCAGGCCTCCACCCCCCACTTGTTTGCAATACTAATTGACAGGGAAGCCGGAGAGGAAGCTTCATTCAAGGCAGAAGCAGTGCGCTCAGGAGGGTCTTGCTTTCCCTAAGTGTCCCAGTACGTGTGATGTTCTTGGAACTACCATCCTACCTGCAACAGTCACATTAGAACTTGGGCCTCACAACCCCTCACAATTCTCCTTGGAGAAGACTCGGAACTTTAGGACCAGCGTGTGCAACTAGAGAGCACAGAACAAGCATGGCCGCAAGCAAAACAGCACACTTCCTGTCCCACTGTAGAGCCACCAGCCACATTGTCCCCAGCAAACAGTGGAAATAGACATCTTCCCCACAGTGGGGCCGACCTGCACTAATCCTCAGCCAGCTCCTCCCTCTGCCACTCTCTTCTGCAGCATCTCCTTCCCACCACCTGAGCACCTTCTCTGGGGCCCTGGCCCCCTGCTCCTCCCCACATGACCTTCCACTCGCGTCGGCCTGCCCTGCCCTCCATTGTCCCCTTCACTGTCCTCGTGCCAATGGGAATGCTGCTCCTGTCCCTTCCAGAGTCCGCGTGAAGTTTGTGTACTTCGGGCTGCAGGTCATGCTGAAATGATGGAATGCACCCTTTCTCCTGCGGTGCCCTCCCCAACCCACAGGGGAACGTGAAGGTCACACTTGTTTGACCCTTAATACATAGTGGTGCTTCCTCCAGTAACATTCCTGTCATGTGTGATTAGTCTATTAATTTTGCCCTAGAGTTATACATATTTTCCCTTTCTCGTTTCTCATGTTTTCCCGGTCCTCTGTGTTGGGTTACTGTGTAAATGGAGGGGGAAAGGAGGTGTTGATTTTTTATTTAAAATAACTAGATTTTTTCCACCCTCTGTGACAAGCTGTTACCTGTCAAGCAATGAAAGGTTCAGGTGCCTGAAGGGCATTTAGCTGGCCTCCATTCTCCCTCTCTCGGGACTGACCTGAAACCTAGGTCCCTAGGGCACCTGTGTCCATCCCGAATCTCTTCCTTTGCCTGGCACCTGGAATTCTAGACTCTGGACTAAGTACCAGATCTTCGCTCTAGTTCAACACTGTCCTCACCCTACCCCTTGTTTCAGGAAGATGTCTAGATCCCCATACCCCCACCTAGGTGTGGTAGAGAAGCCATCACTGGGGACATAATACTTATAGTATATATATAGTATTATGTACCCAGTGCTATTATACTAAGGGGCCAAACAGGGCACAGTTTATCTCACTTTGCTTCTAAATTTTGCCCCAAAGTAGCGGCAACATTTAAGGCTATACCAGAAGCCCTGTGTTCTTGCTGAAGGCATTAAGGTTAAACCAAGCACAGGGTTCATCCCTTTGCATCCCCCAACTATATTCCTCTTCAGAAGCAAAAAGAAAATGGTAAACGTGGGAGATGACATAGAGGTCAGCTTAATACAGCTTCCCACTCCTCAGGCTTCACAAAAGAGAACAATTGAGGCCCCCAAGTGCTGACTTACACCCTTGGATCTCCCAAGATCCATCCAGTGGCTACAGGGTATTAAACCTCTGCTTGCTCAACCCACAGCCAAAGAGAGTTCCGCCTCAGCCTCACACTGTGGTTACAGGAGATTAGCCAATGGGAAGAGAGCAGATGTGTTTCCTGTCCCTTCCCAAGCTCTGACTTGAGGCAGAGAAAAGAAAGAGGCAAGAATGCTAGAACTCACCCATCAGCTATCACGTGTTTGGCCCTTTTTAGCTCAGTATTCCTGCTTGGCGGGCAACTACTGAGCATTTCAGCCTCTTGCCTTCCTTCCTCCCTACAGGGTGAAGATGGTCTACCAGTCCAAGGCTGCTGGAACAAGGTAAGGCTTCCCAGGGGCTTTCGCTACCCTGGGGCAGAGATGTACCTAGAATTGCAGCATCCTAACAGTGAAATAAGGCAAGCAGGATGTCCATTCTGGGCCCTTTTGTCAACAGATACAATATGAATCTAGAAAGGCACTATCTCAGTTACAGGTGCCCATGAAATATTCCATGACCTGCCTTCTACGGTATTAGCAAATACCATTGTGTGGAATTTACATGTGGCCACGAAGGTAACATCTTTAAGCTTTGAGTGGTCAATTTATATGGTATCCTTCCTCCAAGGAGTTCAAAACTGTGTTTTTAAATTAAATTCTAAATAATCTCAGTAAAATTAAAGTACTGATGAGCTACTCTCCTAGTTTATATACAAGGTCATATAAGCCACACAATGACATTTATTCAGCTGTAGGGTATCTAAGTTGCCTAAACTATGAACTCATATGACTTGAGTGCCTCCTTATAGAGAATGTCCAGCTCAGCTATCCTTGGCCTTGAACTTCAGGCTTTCTCACATGTAACCTGAAGTACAATCTCTCTTGGATTCCCAGAATTCCCACCAGCATTGGGTTTTCATTTAGTCACACTGTCTTTGCAGTGACCATCGTTAAATCAGTGTGGAGCCACCTGGCTGTCACCTTACACACAGTCACCTTATTCATCCAGGGCCCCCTAAAGCACAAGGTTCATCAGCTTGATGAACCCAACTTGGTCTCATAAAAGTTACCAGCTCCTTTAACTCCCCACAGAAGCCATCACCAATTCTCTCTTCATCACTTCTGGCTCAGAGATTTCACCAACCTTCCTCTCCAGTGGCCTTGGGGTGTTGGTTCATTCTTATAAAGGACTAGAGACCCCAACAAGTTTCAAGTTTTAGGCTTATTCAGTCCTACTAACAATGACATGAATGAGCAAGTCCCTGCTAAGATGCTTTGAATCTCATTGGTTCTTGGGATTAGATGAAAGTAGGAAACCTCAAAGGAACCAGGCCCTAAGTTAAGTATCCAGCTATTGGGGTCCCTATTGTGCCCCTAATCAGAGGAAAGAAAAACTTAACCTCAAGAGAGGTGTCTCCCCTGAGCCTGCCCTTGATCCTCTTGTTGAATTCCATCCTAGGCTTCATGAAAGTTCTACAGGAGCTGTGAAAGTGTGTCAAATAAGACCCCCAACTCCTTGCTCACTAAGAAGAATATCTTCTTCAAGGTTGCTGACGATGATTGGGAGATAGGAAGGGTTGAGCTTAACCATTGAGGACAGTCATTATAAAAAACCACAGTGTCTTGCAGCCGGTAAAGAAACTCATACCAATTGGCTCACCATCACTTTTGTCTGGAAGGTGCGCAATTAAGCATCCTGCCTCTTCTAGGCAGCATAGAGAGAAAGCGCCCTCTAGTGGAACGTGAACCCTTCATTTTTCCACCCTCAGGAAGAGATGAGAATCATTTCTTTGAGAGTTCCCCAGAACTCTAGTCAGAGCTCCCATCCACCCCAGCACAAGCTCCACTTTCCAACAAAGTAAACTAACCTCCACAGGCCCGCTCAGACTAACTCTATGTTGTTTCCTTTCTGTTTTTTTGCAGTGATGCCTCTAACCTTGGACTGGCCTGTGTGTGTGTTTGTACATAGAATATTTATTTTTATACAGTTTTCACTTTTTGAAAGTGCCTGACGTATGATGCATCTTACAGATTATTAAAATGCAAACTCTGCATATTTTGTACAGAAAATGTCAACCTCCTCCCTTTTGTTTACAAGATTTTTTTTTAAGTCCACGTCTCTAATACACTTTTTGTTTGTGAGTGCGGTTGTAATGTTTGCATGATATTTGTGCACACTTATTAAGTATTGAAGCTTAATAAATTATTTTGTTCTGGTGCCAAAGGGGGCCATCAGCATTCAGGTGCTGGCTAGCTTATGTGTGAATTCACATAAATACGAAAGGTGGCATATGCCAACCGGGGTATGTCTGAGAATATTTTCAACTCTATGGATTTTTATTATTAAAAAATATGAAACTTGCAAATTCATTATCCTGGTTAATCATTAAGTGCAATATTTCTTAGAAAAGCAGAGAGCCTCGGAAAGGGCTCCTTAGAGGTACAGGGAAGTATTTTGGTCAAAAGGAGGTAGAGAAATCATGTTAAACAACATCTGTAATTCTATCAAGGAGCTCTGGGGTGCATAGTGCACTGTGAACCAGGAGGTCAACAGTTCTAACCCAATAGCTGCTCCCCAGATGGGCAAATGTCTTCCCCACTAAGATCTACAGCCTTGTAAACCTGATGAGGGGTTGCTGAGTCAGAAGGGCTCCACAGCAGTGGGTGGGTGGTTATGTCCATTAGGAGCCACAGTGCACAGTGTGTTATTTTTTGGACTTCTGACCTAAAGGTGATGGGTTTGAATCCAGCAGCAGCTCCTCAAGGAAAAGGCATCCCCTCTCATAAAGATTTGCAATCTCAGAAACCCAGTGGGAAGTTCCCAGGAATTGTAATGAACTTAATGGAAGTGGATTATGTCCGCTGTCTTGGAGTATCACAAAGGCTTGGCTGATAACCAAAAGGTTGGTGGTGGTTCAAGTCTACCCAGCAGCACTCGAGAGAAAGGCCTGGAGAACTTCTTCCCCAAACTCAGCTTTTGGGGGTTTTTTGTGTTGTGTGGGTTTTTTTAATTTTATTAATTTTAATGAACATTTACAGAGATTTTGGATTTCCATTCCTTCATTGTTGCACTTTTCTCCCTGCCTGCCCATCCCTCCCCTCCAGTTTGCTCTTCTCTTTGAAAAGTAAAAGAAAAATTCCTTCATTGGTATACAATCCCCACCCCCAGCCCCAAATACACTCCACTCTGCAACCTTCATTCTGGACTCTTGTGATAACCGTAATACCCTATCATATATCCCTTTTAAACTGTTCAGCTTTTGAAAACCCTTCCATTATGACACACGCGGAGATTGTCAGGAGTTGACATTTACTAAACAGCCATTGGTATCATGTCTCTTAGGACATATGCCAGGTTCAAGACAGTACTGTTAGAGATAGAAGTCACCTTTTTGTACTGGCAGTTACCAGGATTTGAAGAGCCATTTGCTCTTGCTTTTGGTTTCTGTTTTGTTGGAGTTTTTAAAACATGCGCTTTTTTTTAGAACAATTTTTTATTTACAGAGAAATTGGGCACTAATTGCTGAGTTCCTGTACACTCCTTCTCTCTGCCGTTATTAACACCGTTCTTCAGTGAGTACATTTACCACAAATGAACCAGTCCTGGCACATGATTAACTATAGTTCTGAGGTTACATTACGGTTTATTCTAAAAGCCCTGTGGGTTTTGATAATGGATGAAGTGTTTGACCACTGCTTTTCATACACAATCATTTCACCACCCACACAATGCTCAGCACCCACCTGTTTGAGGGTGATTTTCCCCCCTTTGGGATTGTGGGCCTGAGCGTCAGCTGCTGCTGACTACGGCCATGTTATTGTTAGGGATTGGCAGGCCACTTAGACAAGAGATTGGAGAAAACTTTGCCTCATCTGTCATTCCCTGCCAGCAAAGAACATTCAGAAAATGCTTATATATCTAAAAGTTAATCCTTTCTAATCATGGATCTGTTAAAAAAACAAACCATTGCTGTGGAGTCAACCCCCATCATGGCAGCCCCATGTGTGTTAAAGTAGTACTAAGCTCCCACAGAGTTACACTGTCAACATAAAGTCACTGGGTTCAAATTCACCAGCAGCTCCACAGGAGAGAGATGGGCAGTCTCCTCCCATGTGATGTGCGGCCTCTGAAAGCCCATTGAAGGGTCAGCTGTGAGTCACTTGCACCTCTACAGCATACAACATGGGTTTTTGTTTAAAAAAAAAGTAGATGATGAGTCCTTTCATCTGAGGCATCTCTGGATGAGGATTTCTGTGGCATAGTGTCCATGGTATAGCATACAGATTTGTTGTTTGAGTCTGATTTAGGACAGAGTTCTGTTCCAACGACTCTGTTGTAAGTCAGTTCTGATATAGTTAAATACTTCTTTTCCCTCTTTTGCCTTCATTTCATTTTCATGGTCTGTTGTATGGCAGTGTTGCTAGTAAACTTCTATCATCAACAAAACACAGTCCAAAAAGCCTATGTACGACAAAACATTGCTTGTAGTACATATTGCCAATGCTAAGATGCTCTCCCCTAAAAAGGGCATATCCATAACTTGAAAGTGTCATGAGACAAGGACTGCATGTATTTTTAACATAATTTGAATCTTCTCAAGTCCTTGAGAATAACAGATTACTTAGGTTGTCTGTATTTTCAGTTCTCTTTGTGCATCCTTTCTTCATAGATAAGACAAAAGCAAACTCAGTCCACACACAATCACACAGACGCTAATTGAGTGGGTCCCTCCTTCATGGGCTCTCTGTCACCTTGGAAGGGGTGAGTCTTGTACACATAGGACCACATGGTGACTGCCCAGCATCCTTATTCCCAGCGTCCGCTCATCATTGCTTCGGTGGAACAACTTTGCCCGTCACTCTGGGCTTTCTCCCGTGAAAAGTCAAAAAGGTTGGACCAGACCTTATCCATGTAGTCATCAAACAAAGCTCAGCTGTCCCTTGCCCACGTGGCTGAAAGCTCTGGCTAGGACTTACTCTGTTGTTGTTGTTATGTGGTGTCTATATGGACAATAACTCTGTACTCTGCCCTGTCCTGAGCCAGCCTCACCATCTCTGACACACCTGACCTCATTGACACAGTCACTTTATCTCTCTCATTTGGTGTCTTCATTTCCTGCCCTGACCCTCTGCCCTTCCAAGCATGATGTCATCTCCAAGAACTGGCTTCTCCCATCAACATGCCCAAAGTATTGAGACAGAGTTTCAAAATCCTGGCCTCCAAGGAGCAACCTAGATTCACCCTCTTAAGGACAGATCAATTTGTTCTCTTGGCAGTCCATGGTATGTTCAATACTCTTCTCCAGCACCACAGCTCAAAGGTATCGGTTCTTCTTCTGGCATCCTTATTCACTGTCCAGCTCTCAGATGCCCAGGGACTATTAAGGGAGAGCATTATGTCAGCAGCCCTCCATTCCCGGCACGCTTTTTACCTGAACCAGATTCCCAGGACCCTGTTCAGGTCCAATTACCCATCAGGCCGACGAGCATAGAGCCCTGGGCTCACAGACCCTCCATGAGATGGACGGACACAGTGACTGTAGCAATGGGCTCCAGCACATCAGAGAGTGTGAGAACAGCCCAGGAGAGGGTGCAGTTCAGATCTGTTGTTCACAGGATTACTGGGAGTAGTAATCGACTCCACGGCACCTCACAGCAACAAACAAGAGTGCTTTCATTTTCCTTTCTTTTCAAATCAGAAGGAAAGGCTAAATATCTAGTAATGAATCCATCCTGGATTATATTGTCCCTAGACCAGCACAGTCATGAAGTACACTATCTAACCCTTTTTATAGAGCACTCACTGTGGGCTCTGACTCACAGTTGCTCTCCATCAGGCTTCAGAGGCTTTGGGGCACAGTGAGAGGAGACTGTCCATCTTTCTCCCGAGGAGCTGCTTGTGGATTTGAGCCCTGGAAGTGTGCAGTCTTTAGGTTAAGCTGAACCACATGTAAGGGGAGGGCAGCACCAGGTTAAGTAAAAAAGAGGCCTTTCCCACATCCTCCCCCACCTGAAACTGTCTCCAGCCTGCCCTTGCTGCTCACCCCCTCCCATGCCACCTTCCTTCCTCCTCACCAAACAAGCTGAAGACCTGGATCATCTCGATCCACCGCCCCATTCCCTTTCATGGTTAGATTAAGGCAGTCAGAGCTCATTACTCATTGCCATGGAGTCCAGATGGACTCATAGCTGACCGTCTAGCAGGCTTTCAGAGGCTGTAAATCACACAGGAGGAGACTGCCCACTTTGCACCCACGGAGCACCAGAGGAGAGTCATTGCCTCTGAGGTAGCCATGCAACAACACCCCATGGTGCACACCACCAGCACTACCCAGAATGGACTGAGTTCTAAAGGAGAGTAAAACATTAATGGAGTCCACTGGGGACTAAATACCTTGACGGCTGAACGCCTGGGTAAATGGAGGCAAACAGAACCTCTTTTGTTCTGTTTCCACCTTTGTGTTATTCATTTACTTCTTACACCTCAGTGATAGCCCAAAGGAGATCCTGCATGGAGCAAACAGTTAATTCACTCAGCTGCCGACCAAAAGGTTGGAGGTTCATGCCCGCCCACCTTCTCAGGAGAAAGGCCCAGGGATTTCCTTCTAAAAGAATCGGCCAGTTTGTTCTTCTCTTTGAAAAGTAAAAGGAAATTTTTTTTCATTGTTATACAATCCCTCCCCCCCAAGTCCACTTCACTATGCAGCCTTCGCTCTGGACTCCTGTCATGACAATAATACTTAATCATATACCCCTTTTATACAGTTCTCTCCCTCATCTATTTCAATGCAGTATACATTATTTATCCCATCTTTCTCAGTATCCCCCCCAACCCCTATGTCAGTCCCGTTTTACAACAGTGGCATTATGCAGTATTTGTCCTTTTGTGACAGATATTTTACTCAGCATAATGTCATCCAGGGTGGAGGGGGCAGGCAGGGAGAAAAGTGCAACAGCAAATGAATGGAAATCCAAAATCTCTGTAAATATTCATTAAAGTTAATAATAATAATAATAAATTTTTTAAAATTAAAATCTTAATTTTTTCTAAAAAAAAAGAATCAGCCATTCAAAGCTCCAGGAAGCCCAGCTCTTCTACAAACATGTGGGGCTCCCAGAAGTGGGATCAACTTGGTGGCAACTGGTTTTCCATTTACAACCACAAAAGCATCTGATGTCACTCCCAAGAGCATAGATAACACAATAGACATGTGTAAACAGCGTCTACAAGTTAGGGTCAAGTGATGTAAGTGTAGAGGAGAAGGCGGTACTAGGAGGCACTGGATGGGCAAGAAAGGGCCCCCACGGTCTCTGAAGTCAAGGTGCCTCATGTTCAAAGTTAAAAAGGCAACGGGGCTACCTGGTTTCCA